TAGCTGCATATTGTTTGTGTTTTAGGAAAAACTACTTTTTATATTCAAGGAGAATTAATGTGGTGTTATATTTGGCAGTGCACTGTGCTCTTTTGGTCCCAAAACACACATTTAAAAGGAACTTGAGTAAAGAAATAAAAAGTTAAAAAATACTGCAATAATAAAAAATCAGAAAGCTTTTATCCTTGCTTGTTGGACTTGAGGAAACAAGAGAAAGAGAATTATGGATTAGCCACTGTTAGTAGTAATTCAGCATAGTCACTAAATATGAAATTGTTCAGATTCAGTGCAGTACAAGTACAAACTTGTGAACTGATTACTGGATTTGTTGGTCCATGCAATCCTGGATAAAATGGTTTCAGGTAAGTGGGTTTATATTTTGCATGGAACACTTCTGTCAAGGTTTTCCATGGATGAGTTTAATCCTTATGTTAGTTTCTGTCTTTGGGCTTGATGGTGGCAGCTTTAAGCAAGAACACTTTGAAAATTCAAGATTGAAGGTGAGGAATCTCCTGCTCAGAGGATTTGTGGATGTGCAGCCACATATTCACGTTATTGCTACATCCTTCTGTACTTCACTACAGTGTGGAAGAAAATTTGATGGGACACTGGAAACAACATTCTTGCTTTTGCAGACTAGAACTGCAAAGAAGTTACAAGAAGTTGTTTGTCCCTTCAAGCAGATGGCATCACTGATACAGCATTGCCTACAATAATCTTACTTCTGCCAGGGAACACTGTTTCCTGCAGCTTGAGGAGCACTCAACACCAGTGCCAATGAGAATTCTTTAGTCCTCTTCATTTAAGGATGAGCTAACATCTCTTACCTAACATTATCATGTGTCTATACAGAATGTTAGTATTGCTTAGCTAAAGCACAGTGATTTCTTCATGTATTTGAGCCCAGAGAGTTGCTACATTAGAACTTGAATATTGTTGGACTGATCTGACTTAAATACACGATATGTTGAAATGGCACAAAGTGGGAACAGTCTAGCAGAGATGGCTTTACAGGTGTCTCCCTTCTCTTCTGCCATTTAGGCAAAGCAAACAGAACTGTGAAAGACCTCAATAAGTACTTTAACTTTTGCTCTGAAAGTCACACTGAAAATTGGCTGCATGTTTAATCGTGATTTGGAAACTACAAGCTAGAAAAGGTAGTTCTGGCTTTCCCAGTGACTCATGAACTGCAGCTCTGTATGTTGGTATCACTTGTTTTGTCTTTATGATTAGATAAATCAGAGGCTGAAAAAGCCACTGATAATGTAAGAATAATAAAAAGAACTTTATGAAGAGAAGTAATGGTAAAAGAGGCAAAGATTACAGAATATTAGTTGAGAGTCAATTTGATTTCCAGTTCCCCACTGGAAAGGGAAGGAAAGGACAAGGCAGGTCTTCTGGGTTGTCCCAACCAGCACAGCTGTGAGCAGGGCATGATGAGCAGAAACCTAGTATATTGAGTCAATAGTGAATAATAACGGTAAAGCTGAAATGAGTAAATAGTTTGGAATATACAGCCACCAAAGAGCACAGAGGCAACAGAAAGTTTAACCAGGACTTTAGTCTTCTGTGTTTTTCTTAAAACATATAGTCACTTATATGAAATAGTTCAAGGGTGACACACTGTGTTTAAGTTCATGCATGAGCTCGGTAGTGAATATGTGAAGTTTATGGAAAATGAGATCAGTAGGAGAGGGGAGGGTGGGGAGAAACAGGAGTGATTGATTTTCACAAGGGAAAAGTTGAAAAAGTCATAGGAAGGTATTATTGCATGAAACTATCTACAGTCCTCAGAGGATTTATTTCAAAATGCCGGGGGGAAGAGCTGCTGTAAGAGAGCTCAGTTCTGTATTGGGAGGGTGCTTTATTTCACCTGTGAGCTGAGCAGGGAAGAGGAAGGGAGCAGTAGGACAAGAGAGCACGGTCTTAAGCTCCTCCAGGGGAGGTTTAGGTTGGATATTAGGAAGAAATTTTTTAGAGAGCGAGCAATCAGAGATTGGAATGGGCTGCCCAGGGAAGTGGTGGATTCACTGTCCCTGGCGGTTTTTAAGATGAGACTGGATGTGGCACTTAGTGCCATGGTCTAGTAACCACGGTGGTGTTGGATCAAGGGTTGGACTTGATGATCGCAGAGGTCTTTTCCAAGCCAGTCGATTCTATGAGTCTGTGACTGCTACGTACGGCAAGGGTTGTATCTTCTTTCCCCAGTATTTGCTGCTGGGAGACAGAGCTCGACTAGAGTGACCTTTGAGCCTAAAGAGGCCTGCAAAAAAGCTGGAGAGGGACTTTTTACAAAGTAGTGATAGAACAAGGGGTGTTGGCTTTAAACTGAAAGACAGTGGATTTAGATTAGATATTAGGAAGACATTCTTTGTTGTGAGGGTGGTGAGGCACCGGAATAGGTTGCCCAGAGAAGCTGAGGATGTCCCATCCCTGGAAGTGTTCAAGTCCAGTCTGGATGAGGCTTTGAACAACCTGGTCTAGTGGAAGGTGTCCCTGTCCGTGACAGGGGCAATAGGAACTAGATGGCCTTTAAGGTTCCTTCCAACCTACCCTATTCTATGTTTCTATGATCTCACCTTGCTGTTGCAATAGCCCACAAAATGTCTGTATGGCCTGTGACATCTTCATCTAAATTAGGTTATAAATGGCCCCAGGCTCTTTTGGTTCCTTCAAGTGGAAAACCAAATTGTGGTGGGAACCTTTGGAGAGAGAAATGCAAGGATTTGGGACTGATGCAATGTGAATGTGTAATTTGTCCCCAAACAAACATTTTAGCTGTTCCCAAAATGTGTCTGGCAGGGACATGACTTTACCACACATAGTGATAGAGGGAACAAGCATAGACTTTTACAATTAGTTCTGTTCTTTAGCTCTTAGAGTGAAGGTCACCATGACAACCAGGATATGAGAACAGAGCTTTGTTTGCTGGTCACTGGGACTGGACATTTTTCCCCTGCTTTCTTTTTGGAGGGAAAAGTTAATTCTGAGGGAGTTTTATGTCAACAAGACATTGGAGCCTGTAAACCTCTATGATAGGTGAGCAAAATCTGAATGTGTCTCTAGATTTCATGCTGTCAAATTGGACAGGAAAAGTCACAAGTCTCTTAGAGCTGTATTTCTTTTTTCAAGCAGTCTGCGGATGTGGGAGACAGTACTGCATTGTTTACCCTGTGTTTTATTTCCAGAAGGTTATTACAAAATAGGAGTTGTTGAACAACTCCACAGCATATACTGGTACTGTTGATAAAACAAAATAAGCAGAATCTGGAGTGTAAGGATGAGAGAGGGTGGTTGCTTCCCAAGAATGCCTGCATTCCATTCCTTGGCCATAATTAACTACAATAAATTTCTGAAATCCTAGTTTTTGTAATGGCTTTATCAAAATTCTTACATACTCCCAGTACACAGCACCTTTTCTTATGAATTTAACCTCTGCCTTTTGTCTGTGTGCGTCATGTGAGTAGGGAGCTCTGATGCTTGCCAGTTTTCATTCCTCTAGTGATTTTGCAAAGTGTAATCATTGTAAAGTGCAATTGCTTAATATGTAGCTCATTCACTAAAACCCCAAGGATAAAGGCAGTGAGTAATGTGAGTCATTACCAGAGCAATGGTATCTGAAAAGATGAAGACTCATGCATCAAGTACCAATCCATTTAGTCTTGAATTAAGAATTTTAAAAACCACTAGTCGGATGTGATTGATATTATGTCCAGGCAAATTAAAGCAGTTACCCTGGAATGCTGTGCTGATGCTAATGTTTTTCTCCTTTGTTATTAGAAGTGCTGATCAGTTACATGTGCCCACTGCTCTGTTTGTCTGTCCAAGATGTTTTCAGACCAGCAGCTCTCTCAGGTGCCTTTTACACCTCTTTTGCCTTTCCAGGCACTACGTACCTTCACGCCTGAAATTCAGAAACTTTGTCCAGAAAATATGAAGAACTCTGCTGACTTGCTCAGCAGTGTTGAGGTTCAAACTTGTGTATTTCAGTCACACTTATTTTTTTTGGTTTTTTGCCATTCAGGTTTCAACAATTTTCTTCCTTTTCTTTGTACTAAGTCGTAAGAGTTGAAATAGATTTTTTCCTACATCTCATTCCAGTGATGAACTTTTAGGTCCAAAGACATGGAATTTGACTGGACAGACAATGACGCTCCAAAGACTGGAGCGTTAACATTTCCATCATCAATCTGGGAGGGTAATTTGCAGCTTAATAGGCAACGTGAGCTGCCATCTTACTTTTGACATGCTTTGAGATGTGCAAGTGCCTGCATAATGTTGTATATAGCAGTCTGATGGGGCACCTAGGTTTAGCACTGGTGAAATGATTTATGCATGCTGACAAATCAGGAGTTATGTTTTGTTTCCAAGATTTCCTGTGGGAACAAAAAGGCTTCCTGAATTACAATACAAAAAAAATCTGAACAACAAAACCAGGCCCGTGCTGGATGTATGACTCCCTTGAAGTCAGCAGGGCTTGGGTAGCATTACACTAGTTGGCATCTACGATTAGAGGTCAACTATTCCTGTCAGTGATATTATTAAAATCATAAAATAATACCTGATAAATTAGTGTATCAGTCTGCAACATTGCTCACAGACCACTTATAAGGCGTTGTACTATACAGTCATCTTTAATTTGTGCATCACAACCAGACCACAGCCTTCTACTGTGACTTGATTGCTCTTTAAATAGGAATTAGAACTCACAAGGTGTGCTATGGTGTGTCCCTTGTTGAAATTATTGCAGAAAGTGTAACAGTAGACTACAGGTAATCTTTAGACTTTAGAAATCAGGTATGCATAATCCATTTCTGCATACTAATTTCTGGTTTTATGTCAATTTCTCAAGTCTTTTGGATGCAACTTTTTTATTCTGTGCTTCCTGTAACTATTGACAAGCCCCTGAAACACTGACAATACCATTAGGGCTTTTCTCCTCCTTTTGCACAGTGTGTTGCTTTGCTTATGTACCTGTGATTGCCCATGGTGCCTATGATCAGTACAGCACATAGAGTGTACCTTGGAGAGTCTCTTTAAGATAATATTTTATTTTTTGTACTATATTGCATAGGAACAGGTAAGATATTTACATTGGTAGCCTTTGAGTTTTTGGGGCACTTGTCACTTTGTTTAGGGATCTCAAACATGCTGGGAGTAGTAGTATCTTCATGAGATTCATTACAGGACTAAATTTTTCTAAGTGACCCAGTCAAATGACTTGAAAAGAAGCAGCTACAGATCAAACCTGACAATGTCAGTTGTCAAAGTAGGCGATGCAGTAAGAAACAAAACTGTGAAATTAGATCAGAAGTTTACAGGTCTAGAAAAAGTATCCATTTCACAGCAGAAATAATCTTTAAGATACTCCATTTGTATACATGATTCTGTGAGGACTTGGGTTTCACCCTTGAACATAGGCACACAGAATCCTTTGGGGCACTACATTATATGAAAAAATACAGATTTTTTCCTTTCCTCCCCAGTTTGGTTGAGCTGGGAGTCCTCAACAGAAGCTGCAAGAAGCAAAACCTGAAGTTTAAGTCTACTGCAGTCCTTGAAGGTAGCTGCCCACAAGCGGACTGTTTTGGAGAGCATGAAAAATAAACAAGCTGTGCTTCTAAAGGCAGGCTTCAGGAAGCCCCCCGAATTGCCCAGTTGTTACAAAGCTCATTTGTGGGTGTTGCACTTGGCTGTAAGACATGTAAAGTTTGCATCACGTACTTAAAACTCAGACATACAAAAGCTAAGAAGCACATCCTCTCAAAGGTGAAAACCAGTGCCATATCCAGCAGGCAATTCTGTGTTCCCAACCAGGAGAACAATGTCCTCAAGTCTGGAGAACTGTAGGAAGCGGCCTGCAGAAGGCAGACACTAAGGCAATACGTGGAGATTTTTTCACAGTATCTTTCACATTGCTTTCAGGCCAATGAACATTTGCCACTATTAACACTAATATAATAGGAAAGAAATTATGTATGTAGAAGATTTGTTACACATGAGTGATTGAAGTGGTTTTTAACTGTGAACTCACTGCTCTTTACACCTGAGTGTTGATGTTGACTGAGAGCCCTTTTTTCTGTAAGTTTGTAAATACCCGAGAGGTTTTTTTGTTGTTTGGTTGTTGGGGTTGTTTTCATTGAAAGAGCTGGCTGGTCCAACACCAAGATTTGTCCTGTGAAAATTATTTTTGTTTTAATTGTTGTGTATTGGAATACTGAGAATTAAGCCCTTCCCTTTTAAAACTTACTTTCCTGATACTAGCATCTCTGTTCAGTGTTTCACTTTGAAAGGCTTTTTGTCTTAAGTGATACTAATGATAGGGAAGGGTGTCCTTTCCTCCGTGTCAAACTTGTCACCATTCCTGTTGATGGTGGATAGTTGATAAGGGACAACTACCCATCACTCTGAAGTGGCACAGAGTTGTCCTGATAAAAGTATCTACTTTGTGCCAGAATCAATGTGAAGAGTCTTAAACTGATGCCTATCTTTTCTCACTGAGAAGTTACATATTGATGAGCTGGTGGGAGAATATAATGATTTTTAGTAGATATAGATCTCCAGTGGTGCTTTCTTTGGTTTAAAAGTAACTTTTTATGTTTCATTTCAGTTGGTCTCTAGCAAGTTTGCTAATCCTGTGTGGGTCTAGATAGGTTTAACACAGATTTATTATTTTAATAATGGATAGAAACCAAGACTGGTGCAACTGCCCCAAATCAGAGTTTGACGGCAGTGAGGCAAACCCTCCTGCATGAATATGTCTTGTTAGAATTCTGTTTCTAACAATTTGGGTTGAATAATTCCTTGCCAATATAAGCTTGATCCATATAAACCAGTCAGTGAGAATCTTTCAATCAATAAGTGTTTATTATCACCTTATATAAATAGGAGCAGTTTTGTGCATATGCTGGTTTAAACCTGCTTGCCATAGTTCAGCTTGGCTTAGTTACTCAGACAGGTGCATGCTGAATAAATACAAGCAACATTCAGTTCCTGCAACACAGTTCACATATAAATGGCACTGGAAAAACTAGTTTTACTTTCAAACCAGCCCAAACGATCCCTAAGTTTCCATAAGAGAGTTTTCCCATGCATCAGTTAATAGACTTTTAAATATTGCAGGTTAGTGAGGGAGAAGGACTCGGTAAAGTCAGTGAATTATATCCTCCTTCTGATGTAACCTGGCCTGTAGCCCAGTAATAGATCTGGTTATGTTGATCCTCCAGAAAATATCTTTATTTGCCCACTTTCTGTTTCAAACCAAAGATCATGCACTGGGTTGTCTTAAGACAACAGGCTATAGACTGGTAACTGGTCCTTCACCTCTCCTTGCTGTTGCTGCTCTCACAGCAAGCATGAGGCAGCTCAGAGAAAATATTTTTTTTTTTTTGCACTGTGGGACATATGTGGTGGCTTGCAAGGACTTGCCTAGTCCACACCTTGGCTGGCAGCTCCAACCTGCCAGGGAGGATGAAGGTTCAGCAGCTGCCCTGCTTAAATCTGGTCTTTTTGACTGAATGTTTCCTTTCTTTTTCAGTTTCTTAGGAAGTGTTCGAAATGCTTTGTCTGTCTGTCTGCACCTCACTGCTCCCAGGTGCTGCTGCCTGCTGGCTTCAGTCCCTGCTTCAGGCCACCAAGTATTTGGGTTCGTCAGGCCGGAGTTTCATGATCTTGTCCATGCAGAGCAGGATGAGAGTCAGAAACCAGAGGCTCCAGCCGACGGCCGCTGCAATCCACCCGTAATCGTCCATGCCCGACGGGCAGCACACGGCCGCCTGCGTGCAGAAGTTCACATCTGGTGGAGAACAAATGAGGTGAGCTGATGGAAGGCCAAGTACACAACAGGTCTCCTTTACTAGAAGGCAGATGAGACAGTGACTTCACTGTCTGCCCTGTGGCCTGTCAGTCCGCCTTGGCATCTTTCCCCTAAGCCTGGCTCTTAACCCGGGTGGGTGGCAGTGCTCAGTTCCATCTGCATGTCTTCAGTCAGTCATCCATGCCTGGCCAAACACCTCAGCAGCTCCTCGTACCACTGTGCCCACCATTATGGAAATCTTTTAGTTGGCGTCTCCTCTGTCAGTTTTAGGAATGGCATATGATAGAAGTAGCTAGTTAAAATAAAAAACAAACCTGGGGTAGAGAAACCCTCATGTGGGAGAGTAAGAGGATCCCTGGTAGAGACACTTTCAGCAGAACCTCCAATAGTTTAGGTACCCAATACCTCTGTCAGCAATAGGGGCAGTGGCAGCTCTCTGCTGGGCTCTTAACTTAAGTGTAACAGCTTCAAAACACATCACTATCAGGAGATCCCTGTTTTACATGTTTAAAAATGAAATAACTTTTAACAATTCCATGGGGGGTTTTTTTTGCATCTTTGCATCTTTTTTTCTGTTTTAATCACTCCAATTTCCTAAAGGCACTTAAAGAGTATGCCGTTAGTTGTTTCATTTATACTTTTATTTAAAGGCATCTGCTATACTTTTTCCATTCCAAGGGCACTGTGAAGATACCAGCTCTGTGTCTATATCCTGTGTGGTAATGTGGAAATATCAAAGGGAGCCTGAAGGACCATGGTATTTCAACCCCTTGGGCTCGGACAGAAGCTGAGTGTGAAACCCCAGCACCCAGGAATTTACGTATATTGTGTGTTGATGTTCATTAATCTTGTTAGCTGTGAAAAGGAAATGCCTCCTGAGCTTGGTGAAGGGCATCCAGCCTCTTGCACATTTCCAGGGAAAAGGCAAGTGCAGGTGCTGCTCAGCTGCTCTCATTCACGTATGTCAGGGAGGACCATGGTCCTGTGCGTTGGCTTTCAGTGCACACAGTACAACTGTCCTGCACTGCAGAGAGCAGGAATTCCCATCACAGAGGTATGTCTTGTGTGTGCTCAGAGAAGGGAGAGGGATGCCTGCCCTATATGCCTATGCCATGCTTTCAAGTAACATACCTGTGTTGGTACATGTTCTATAATATAGGAAGTGCAAGATTGTGAGGGATGTTTGATGTTTGAGTTGGAGAATGACTCTGGGAGTACTGGTGGGATCTCAAGTTGCTTGGAGCTGGCTCTTTGGGAAAGACCTGAGAGGATAGGGAAAGAGGCTCTCTTGGGAATCCATATAGTGCCTACAGGCAGGTGGTCTGGCAGGGAGCTTTGAATTAGCTATCAGTCTGTTCAAAACTATGCGTCTTTCTCAATGTACGTAAGATACTATACCGTGCCAATGGAGGAGTCTTAGAAGTGCATCCTAGAGGTTCACCCACAATGGTAGGCCTTGACAACAGATAAATCCCTTTCCAGGACAGCCTCTCAGTCACCTGTGTAGACTCATCACCTGACTTTAACGTGGTAGTAATGATTTATGAAGACTTACTAAGACATGGTGGTTCATACTCAGTTGTGGGCGTGGAGCTTCCTGAAACATTGGAGATGGCTTCAGCTGCTGCCAGAAGGAGAAAAGGCAAGCTGGATTAGAAAAGCAATACTAGACATCTAACATGAAAATCTGAAAAATCTGGCCTTGCAGAGGTCCGTAGGATGGAACCAACTTCGAGAAAGGAAGTTCCTGCCCCTAAACATTGCTTCATTAGGGTACACTTTCTTATCCCACCACTTTGAACACAGGCTCCAGAGACCTGCTGTAGCAGCAGCCATAAGGAGGAGGTGGATTACTGTCTTTCTGCCTGAGTGGGACCCTGATGTGAGCTGTTCACTCAGAGCTCAAATTAACCACTGTCCTTTCCCAAACTACAGGGGCAGAACAAGCAAGGACTGAAATGAGAAAGACCATTCAGTGGCATGGGGAGATCCATGGCCAGCAGGCTGTACATCTGCCTCCTTTTGTCCTTAGAAAAATCCCAGTAACTCCAGGGTGTGCAGAAGTCAGGCAGAGCCGAGGGCTGAGCCCATCCAGGGAGGCCCTGAGCAGGTCCACCATAGCTCCAAGGAGAAGCTTTGGCTTTGCTGCAGTTCAGAGCATCTGATGCTGCTCTGGCTGGACTCCGGTTTGGACCAGCATGGTAACCATCTCAGGTTGGAAAATACAACATACAGAAATGAGTAACGGCCGGAGAGGGCCAGAAGATTTGATGAAGGTTTTGCCTCTTTATCCTGCTTCCTACTCATAGTCAGAACACACATACACTCTGGCACAACTCTTTGGCTGGTCTCCAGCCCTCCAAATCTGTCCATGTCATCGGCCAAAGCTTCCTTAGTCTTCCTGAGGAAGACCTGCCCCTCAGCTTCAGTGTGCTCCCTGTAGCACTGTGGGATCAGATTGAAGGACAGCTGCAGGATGCCTGAGTGAGGGAAAGCATGTGTTGCTGTGGTCCCTGTGCATCAACACCTCTCTGTCCCCTGCTGCATAAGGAAGGGAATCTAAGAAATACCTCTTCCTGTGCTCCCATGAACAGTATGCTTCAAGTTCAGCCGGGTGGGGCATCCCCTGCACAGACAGATGAAAAATGGCCCGGGGAGGCTACAGGGTGAGGGTGTGCTGGTTGTCCACAGACCAGGCAGAAGCTATGAGATAACTGTTTCCAGTCAAACCATCACTCAGAGCTGATAATTTAGAGTCTGATAGCGAAAATCAGTTTCAGCCTGATTTCAGTGAAGACTGCAAAATAATAGCTCAGGTTTAATTTCAGCTCAGGAAAACAAAACAGAACAAGACCTTTGAGCAAACCTTTGCTTTGAGTTTGGTGTTTTCCAAGTAACAGCAAATAAACTGAGGTTGTCTTGTGGGAGATGTCCCTCTTGGGTCACCTTCCATTGCTCAGCTTTGCATTTTGAGCTGATTCACCATCAGCAATACCAGAGCTTTCTTCATGGCTTCTGCCATGCTCAGAGTGGGTCTCTGGGCATCCTGCTCCAGGGAAGGGTCTGAATACTCCCCAGTCCTCTGTCTGACTCTGTTAGGACGCTTGCTGAATGACCTTGGCCAAGCCCATAATTTGTTTTCTCAGTTAATAAGTACCTTATGGGAGCACTGGGAAGAATCATTGAAACCTGTGTATGATCTGTGGAAGGAAGTGCTGCAGCATGCTGAGCATTGGTTCATATTTATAAACTTTGCAGCCCAAAGAACAGGCTCTCAAAGCTAACCCATCTTTAAACAGCTGGCAGGTCTCATCTGGTGCTGATATACAAATTCAGGCAGGACCCTGGTGGGAAAGGGGCAGCTCAAAGGTCTCATTTGCATTTTGGTTTTAGGCAACTTTTATAATTAAGGTGGGACCAAAACCAGATTTTCTGCAAAAAACACCCAATAAAAGCTAAACCACACTACATCAAGCCCCTTGGGTGTTACTGCAAATGGTCCTTTCCTCAGCAAGCACAGGAAGACCAAATGACTGTGGTTCCCTATCTCCTTGCCATTCAGTGGAGCAGCCTGCAGCTCATCACACTGACAGTGGATCTGTAAATAGCTGGCAAAAGAGCATCTCTACAGAATGATGACCAATCATGTCCAGTAATTCTCATTAGCATTAATCGATTCCAGCTCTTTACACTCCGTAGGTGAGACAAGGGAGCCCGCCTCATTTTGAAAGAACAAATTACTGTCAGTGGGCCATATATGTGGGGGGGAAGGGCAGGGTATAAAAACTGAAGCGTAGAAGAGAAATACCTGCTGAGCAGGAATCCCAGAGCGCAGCGGTGAAGAGAAGCACTGTGGAGGCTGCCCAGGGCTCGAAGTGCTTCATGCCGGGGGTCCAGCTCCCACTTGAGTGTCCACACGGAACAGGTCACTGTCTCTGGCAGCTCTGGTGCAGCAAATCCTTGATAAGCTCAGAGAGCTGGTGTGCAGAGCAGAGGGTGGAGCAAGGGAGCTTCCTGCTGCCAGGACACCTTGAACTTTCCTGCCAAAACCGGGTAAGGAAAGAGAACGGCTCTGACCGAAACAGCTTCAGTGGGAGGTAGATACCAGGAGTTGGCCCCTGAAGGTTAAGCTTAAAGTTTTCTCCCTAGGATATGCTGCAGCTGGAGAGAGGAAAGGCCTCCAGAGCCAGCCCTTTCCAGCAGAGTCCCAGGCAGCTTCTGAATCTTCTTTTCGTCCTATGAAGATGGTATAATAGATCTGGAAAGGAGCAGAGGATTGGGGTAGAGAATTTGTCTCCCTATTTGGCTTTGATTTCGCATGTTTTCTTGCTTGACTTTCCCAGTGATGCTTTTTTGGAAGGGCTGTGTGGAATCCTAAAAAACAGCAGGCTTAGGTCATGCTGGTACAGCAGCTGTTGAGTTAACACAGGATACACAGAGTGTGGGCACATTCCCACCAAGAAATGGGGTGAAACCAGTGGCTTTGTGTAGGCTACTGACAGCTATTGCAGAGTACCAATGGCTTTGGGTTGGGATCAGTTCCAGTTTGGGGCCTCTGCACAGGAAGAAGCTGCTGCTGTTCTCGCCCTGTGAACACAGCGGTGTCACTGCCTCCATTGCCATCTGCAACGTGGTTCTGGAAAAGCTGTTCTTTCTTCTCTGGTGGTTGTGCCACCTCCTCCTTGATGTGGGCAAAGCCAGAAGCTGTGCCTTCCCACCAGCAGAGCTCTATCTGCAGACCAAGAGGGCTGCTGGCAAAATGATACCAGCTGGAGAGTGAGAATTGTTCAGCAATCGTGGTTGAAAAGCCACATTGTTGAAGTGCTGGTGTTGTTTTCCTGGTCTGATGAGCAGCACACATTGCTGCTCTTCCCGAGGCTGTTGGCTGTGCTTGTTCCTATGTTTGATGTGATGATGCACTTGTTAGAGAAAATTTCAGGCATTTAATCAGGCAGGAAGGCACTGGGAGAGGTGGGCTCCTCAGGGAGCAGGTTGCTGGTGCTCTTCTGCAGTGGTCACTCATGGTTTTGGGTTTAGAATGAAGCTGTCTGGGGCCTGTTCTGGATATGCAGCCAGTCTTAAAGGAGACACAGGGGAAGGCGCCTTGGGCAGCAATCCTTGTAGGATAGAATTTAATAATTTTCTCTTTTTTTTTCATTTCATGCTGCTAAAACCCACAGGGAGGGACATGACAGGGTTACCACAGGAATGGCATACAACAGGGGACAGCTGTGCAAAGCCGTGAGGTAGATTTGGTTTCCTTTCATTTAAGAAAAACCTTGGCAGCAAAGCCCTTCTTAGCCCTGCCCAGCATTTCTGTGGGCTGAATCCACTTGTCCTCTCTCACCACCAAAAACATTCTGTTCCCACCCAGCTGAAAATATTTCCATGATGCAGCAGGACACGGCAGCTGGAGGTTCCCTCCAGAGAGAGGGCACACTGAGCTGCAGATGAGGGCAGGTCAGCTGAAATGGGCATGTTTACCCACCTTGTCTCCCTGTTTTCATATCAACATGCTGCCAGGGCTGGCAGAGTAAGGGCTGTGCAGGCTGGTCTGTGACAGCCACCTCCTGCTGCTGCCGGGATGCAAGGCCCTGTCCTTCAGCTGACACCGGGGTGGCACAAGGGTGTCGTGCGCGGCTGGCAGCCAGGCTGGGTGTGTGACCCCAGTCCTGAGTCACGGCAGGAGACTCCAACTGCTCAGAGCTGCTCCAAGTTCACCTATAGGATAATCTTCATTTCTACCTCGTTTCAGCATCTAGGTCCTCTTGTAGTGGTTGCTTTTGATTTATCTGAGGGTATTTATTTGAGCTACCTGTTGCATCAAAATTAAACCTCAACTCTTTACCAGGAAAAGGCCCTTTCCTTTCTTCCAGTTTCACCTTTCCCTCCTGAATTTCTCAACCACAATTCCCACTGAAAGTTGGCCTGGCAGTTAATTTTGCAAAAGTAATGAGTACAGAAGTGTTCTCTGCAGCACAAAATGCTTGAGGGGAAATGAAAAGACAAAACTGCTCTACTATTGCATGAATGATTCAATTTGTAATGAAATGTCTTTTGAATTTTAACTATTAACTAAATGCTCTTTGTCAGCTTGTAGGTAAATGTGCCCATTTCTAAGGGATGCTGAAAATGCATTTGCACAATTAACATAATGTATTTCTTTTCCTTTCCAAAATGTGTTCCCTCTGTGGTTCAGAAAGGGCCTGCTCCAAACTCTTCTGAAGTGGCGAACAGGCTGCTCTTGGCTTCAGCAATTTTTGGATTGGATTGGAAATGAAGGCTTTGCTTGATAAGTTCAGACACAATGGGAGCTCTGTAAAATCATCTCCTGACACAAATTTGGATTTGTTTCATTTCTTCTTTGTAACACGTTCATATTTCAGTGCTGTGACTGCCTGAAGAGTGATAAGATGCTCCAAAGCCTTCCTCTAGTTTCTATACTTGTCTCCCTCCATGAGAGTGCCCTGGCACACAAGGCACAACTGCAGCCCCTGCAGAGACAGGGCTTTCTTTCCTCAGGATCCCATTTTCATGCAGTTTTCAAGGGAAGACTCTATTTACTCTAAAATCAGATACTTCCCCAGCTCTCCCCTTGGAGTCTCTTCCACAGTGCGTAGGGCTGCAGGTCAGCTTTTCCTGATGGTTACAAATGAGGCAATACCTACCATTCAGTACATTTTGTGCCACAGAGAGCTTCACAGTTAAGATTCTCTGATGACCAAAGTATTGCTATTGCCCTTGACACGTCACCACCAGGTGTGGCTCTCAGACAGGTATTACCTTTATCATACACACATACACTCTCTATCTTTCTCTCTATATATTCTGTTTACATAGGCAACATGTTTGTATTTTTCATTCCAAATGAAATCTGATTGCTGCTGCAATTGTGTTCCATCCCTGCAGTAACCAGCACAATGGCAGTTGAGCCATAGCATGGTATTTAACTCAGGACAAAACACACAGTCCACAAGAGCAGAGCAGGTGCATCACCTCTGGGTGTATCAGTGATAGAGGACAAATCTTTTTTTTTTCTGAATGTCACTTGAGGTTGGGATAACTACACCCCAACTCTTGTTTCAGTGTACCTGAGGTGGTGCTATGCTTAGCTGTTATGACAAAAAGGATTTTTGATAAAAGAGAGCTCAAAAATTAATATCCCATGTAACCACACAAACCCTCTGCACGGTAGAGCTAAGCATGGAGTAGTTATAGGTCTGATCCCAGAGCTACCTACAGCTGCCTGACACTTCCCAGTGCTGCTGAAGGTGATGACAGCCTGGCTGGAGGGGTTGTGTGTTGGGGACCCTCCTGAGTTGTGTGTGGTGGCACACTGAAGCTGCTGATTAGTTGCTGTGTGCAGCCATTGAGGTCATGATGCTAGACACCAAGGTGGTCTGTGCTCTTGGTGGGACCACAGGAGCAGATCTTTCTCCAACAAGTTCTTTGTAGGTAGCAAAATCTCACGGTTCAACTCTAGAAAAGGCATTTGTTGGGGGGACGGGTCTGCCTGTTAGCAACCCCCAGTCTTTGTATTGTGGGGTGAGCTCCCTCCTGTGTGGCCTTTACAAAGCTCAAAAAAGCTTAAGAGTCTTTATAAAAGCCTTAAAATTACTTTTAAACACTCAAAATCATAAACCTGATGCTAATAATGTGTCCATCAGGAAGGGGGTTGATTTTTTGGTGTCTTCATTGATGTGAAAAATAGCTGTCTAAGATAAACAGAGGATTTCTAAAACTTGGCAAATATAGAAAAATATCAAAACCACAAAGGTTTTGCTCTTTAAAGGAAAGAAGGGAAGAGGGGATGTGCTTTCTGCCACAAAAAGGAATACAACTCTAGCATTTTGGACAAGAACCCCAACCCTGGCCTTTGTGGTTTCCAGTCCAGGCTGGAATTGCTGTTAGACAAATGTTGAGCCTGTGACCCTGCTGTGACCCCATGCTGCTCCTCTGGAGACCCCAGTGAGGGGGCCCAAGATGAGCCAGGCAGTGCAGGGCTGCCAGAGAAGGGCTGCCTTCAGCTCTCCCGGGCAGAGCAGCCGGCACCAACAATGGGCCCACTGATGGGGCTTCTGCAAGTGGTGCCTCATCATTGGCCCTCATCATCCGATCTGCATTAATGAGATTATTAGAATATAATGTTCTTACTCCCACATGCCAGAGGCATGAAATGGGATATGCTTTCTGCTTCTCTCCTTTCTGCTTCTCACGTGGGAAGGGTGCAGGGGAGGGCAGGAGAAATTGCTTTAACCCTGCTTTCCATGTTTTCTTGCTCCTTGGCTAACAGGACAGAGCGGCCAGCATAGTGCAGCTTGCTTTGGCCATGAAGTGTGTGCTGGGACCTGCTTCTGCTCCCCCAGCCCTGACAGCTTGTAGGGGAGTAGCTGAGTATAACTCTGGGGCTGAGTAAAAGTGAGTAAGAGCAGTAAAGGTGCAAAATGGAAGCAAATCCTGATAGCATCAAATGAATCCAGGGGGAAGAATGTGTTCAGAGGTGAGGGGAGTAGCCTGAGAAGCTGTTTCGTTTTGTTGTGTCAACACCAGTTGAGAACTGAGTGATGACTCCTGTTATTTAGTATTACTGCATGGGCTGGAAGACAAAGTCCTTTCTTTGCCACAGGAGTTTCTCCACAGCCCTGTATGGTAGTTGTGTGGTCGGCAGCAATGCCTTCACATCTGCCTTACCAAGAAAATTTCCAATTTCCCAGCAGAAAGCTTTTACTGCCTTTCTTTGGTAGAATTGATAGAGAAAGCAGAACTGACTGTGGGCAGTGGCTGGTTTAGGAGGAGCACAGTGCAGCCACCGTGGGTGGGAGCCCAGGGGGCCCCACAATCAGTTCAGCTGGGTGGTTTGCTGAGTAAAGTGCAACTTTTAGGCCCATCTTATAATTTTTAATACCTCCTTTTTGGGTCAAACAGCTTGAGGCAGCTGGATTTGAGCCAGCGGGACCCCTCTCACACTGGCTGACTTTGCCAAGTGGGACCACTCTTTGTTGCTTTTGAATAGAACACCCCTGTGCTGGGAAACCTTCTGCTGTTGCTCTCTTTTCAG